TATAGAATAATCAGTATGAGTATGATTGCGGCAGTCCAGTGAATTACGAAGTTATATGGCGAAATGTATATGGTTGATAGGAACTCGCATCAGGAAAAGTGCACAATCTTTTTCCTAAGCCCATCACATCAACTTTGATGTCTTCTAATGCTAATATACAATGTATAGAATAATCAGTATGAGTATGATTGCGGCAGTCCAGTGAATTACGAAGCTATAAGGCAAAATCTATATGGTTGATAGGAATTTGCGTCAGGAAAAGTGCACAATCTTTTTCCTAAGCCAATCACATCAACTTTGAGGTATTCTAATGGTAATATACAATGTGTAGAATACTCAGTATAAATATGATTGCGGCAGTCCAGTGAATTACGAAGTTATATGGCAAAATGTATATGGTTGATAGGAACTCGCATCAGGAAAAGTGCACAATCTTTTTCCTGATGCGAGTTCCTATCAACCATATACATTTTGCCATATAACTTGGTAATTTAGAGGACTGCCTCAATCATACTTATACAGATTATTCTACACATTGTATATTACCATTAGAATACCTCAAAGTTGATGTGATGGACTTAGGAAAAAGATTGTGCACTTTTTCCTGATGCGAGTTCCTATCAACCATATACATTTTGCCATATAACTTGGTAATTAAGGGGACTGCCTGAATCATATTTATACTGACTATTCTACACATTGTATATTACCATTAGAATACCTCAAAGTTGATGTGATTGACTTAGGAAAAAGATTGTGCACTTTTTCCTGATGCGAGTTCCTATCAACCATATACATTTTGCCATATAACTTCGTAATTCACTGGACTGCCTCAATCATATTTATACTGAGTATTCTACACATTGTATATTAGCATTAGAATACCCCAAAGTTGATGTGATGGGCTTAGGAAAAAGATTGTGCACTTTCCTGATGCGAGTTCCTATCAACCATATAGATTTTGCCATATAACTTCGTAATTCACTGGACTGCCGCAATCATACTCATACTGATTATTCTAAACATTGTATATTACCATTAGAATAGCTCAAAGTTGATGTGATGGGCTTGGGAAAAAAGATTATGCACTTTTTATGTTCGGAGTTTTAATTGATCGCGTTATGTTAAGCCTAAGCTACGTATAATGTACAGTACGGTCTCAAATATGCCTTTTAAAATACGTCAATTAATTAGTTTTAACTTGTATACACGTTTTATCAATGTATAATTGACATTATATGAATATAAAAACATCATTTCGCACCCTATTGTCATTGATTTGTGTTTCCGACATCCCTGCAAAACACGTTTGTGGCGTCCGCAGGCGTACCAACCCACATCTATTACAAACCGAAACTTGTCCTGACGCAAAATCCTATAAACCATATAGATTTTGCCTTATAGCTTCGTAATTCACTGGACTGCCGCAATCATATTTACCCTGAGTATTCTACACATTGTATATTACCATTAGAATACCTCAAAGTTGATGTGATGGGCTCAGGAAAAAGATTGTGCACTTTTCCTGATGCGAGTTCCTATCAACCATATACATTTTGCCATATAACTTCGTAATTTACAGGACTGCCACAATCATACTCATACTGATTATTCTACACATTGTATATTACCATAAGAATACCTCAAAGTTGATGTGATGGGCTTAGGAAAAAGATTGTGCACTTTTCCTGATGCGAGTTCCTATCAACCATATACATTTTACCATATAACTTCGTAATTTACTGGACTGCCTCAATCATATTTATACTGAGTGTTCTACACATTGTATATTAGCATTAGAATACATCAAAATTGATGTGATAGGCTTATGAAAAAGATTGTGCACTTTTCCTGACGCAAATTCCTATCAACCATATAGATTTTGCCATATATAGCTTCGTTATTCACTGGACTGCCGCAATCATACTTATACTGATTATTCTATACATTGTATATTAGAATTAGAATACCTCAAAGTTGATGTGATGGGCTCAGGAAAAAGATTGTGCACTTTTCCTGATGCGAGTTCCTATCAACCATATACATTTTGCCATATAACTTCGTAATTCACTGGACTGCCGCAATCATATTTATACTGAGTATTCTACACATTGTATATTACCATTAGAATACCTCAAAGTTGATGTGATTGGCTTAGGAAAAAGATTGTGCACTTTTCCTGACGCAAATTCCTATCAACCATATAGATTTTGCCTTATAGCTTCGTAATTCACTGGACTGCCGCAATCATACTCATACTGATTATTCTAAACATTGTATATTACCATTAGAATAGCTCAAAGTTGATGTGATGGGCTTGGGAAAAAAGATTATGCACTTTTTATGTTCGGAGTTTTAATTGATCGCGTTATGTTAAGCCTAAGCTACGTATAATGTACAGTACGGTCTCAAATATGCCTTTTAAAATACGTCAATTAATTAGTTTTAACTTGTATACACGTTTTATCAATGTATAATTGACATTATATGAATATAAAAACATCATTTCGCACCCTGATTTGTGAAATTGATTTGTGTTTCCGATATCCCTGCAAAACACGTTTGTGGCGTCCGCAGGCGTACCAACCCACATCTATTACAAACCGAAACTTGTCCTGCCGCAAATTCCTATAAACCATATAGATTTTGCCTTATAGCTTCGTAATTCACTGGACTGCCGCAATCATATTTACCCTGAGTATTCTACACATTGTATATTACCATTAGAATACCTCAAAGTTGATGTGATGGGCTCAGGAAAAAGATTGTGCACTTTTCCTGATGCGAGTTCCTATCAACCATATACATTTTGCCATATAACTTCGTAATTTACTGGACTGCCACAATCATACTCATACTGATTATTCTACACATTGTATATTACCATTAGAATACCTCAAAGTTGATGTGATGGGCTTAGGAAAAAGATTGTGCACTTTTCCTGATGCGAGTTCCTATCAACCGTATACATTTTGCCATATAACTTCGTAATTTACTGGACTGCCACAATAATACTCATACTGATTATTCTACACATTGTATATTACTATTATAATACCTCAAAGTTAATGTGATGGGCTGAGGAAAAAGATTGTGCACTTTTCCTGATGCGAGTTCCTATCAACCATATACATTTTGCCATATAACTTCGTAATTTACTGGACTGCCTCAATCATATTTATACTGAGTGTTCTACACATTGTATATTACCATTAGAATACCTCAAAGTTGATGTGATGGGCTTAGGAAAAAGATTGTGCACTTTTCCTGATGCGAGTTCCTATCAACCATATACATTTTGCCATATAACTTCGTAATTCACTGGACTGCCGCAATCATAGTTATACTGAGTATTCTACACATTGTATATTACCATTAGAATACCTCAAAGTTGATGTGATGGGCTCAGGAAAAAGATTGTGCACTTTTCCTGATGCGAGTTCCTATCAACCATATACATTTTGCCATATAACTTCGTAATTTACTGGACTGCCTCAATCATATTTATACTGAGTATTCTACACATTGTATATTACCATTAGAAAACCTCAAAGTTAATGTGATGGGCTTAGGAAAAAGATTGTGCACTTTTTCCTGATACGAGTTACTATCAACCATATACATTTTGCCATATAACTTCGTAATTTACTGGACTGCCACAATAATACTCATACTGATTATTCTACACATTGTATATTACTATTATAATACCTCAAAGTTAATGTGATGGGCTGAGGAAAAAGATTGTGCACTTTTCCTGATGCGAGTTCCTATCAACCATATACATTTTGCCATATAACTTCGTAATTTACTGGACTGCCGCAATCATATTTACCCTGAGTATTCTACACATTGTATACCATTAGAAAACCTCAAAGTTAATGTGATGGGCTTAGGAAAAAGATTGTGCACTTTTCCTGATGCGAGTTCCTATCAACCATATACATTTTGCCATATAACTTCGTAATTTACTGGACTGCCGCAATCATACTCATACTGATTATTCTACACATCGTATATTACCATTAGAATACATCGAATTTGATGTGATGGGCTTAGGGTCAACATTGTGCACTTTTTCCTGATGCAAGTTCCTATCAACCATATACATTTTGCCATATAACTTCGTAATTTAGGGGACTGCCTCAATCATATTTATACTGAGTATTCTACACATTGTATATTACCATTAGAATACCTCAAATTTGATGTGATGGGCTTAGGGTCAACATTGTGCACTTTTTCCTGATGCAAGTTCCTATCAACCATATAAATTTTGCCATATAACTTCGTAATTTAGGGGACTGCCTCAATCATATTTATACTGAGTATTCTAGACATTGTATATTACCTTTATAATAGCTTAAAGGTGGTGTGATGGGCTTAGGAAAAAGATTATGCACTTTTTTATGTTCGGAGTTTTAATTGATCGCGTTATGATAAGCCATAGCTACGTATAATGTACAGTACGGTCTCAAATATGCCTTTTAAAATACGCCAATTAATTAGTTTTAACGTGTATACACGTTTTATCAAGAAATAATTGACATTATATAAATGAAAAAACATCATTTCGCACCATGGTGGAAGGAAAAAACATAGGTGTGCTATTCCCACATATTCTGACGTCACTCGGATTGCAAACAAAAGATCATCTGATTATAACTGTCAAATCAGTATATGTATTTGTTTTGATTTGGTTGTTATTGTTTTTATTATTATATAAACAATAACAATCAAATAAAAACAAATACATACTAAATTTGACAGTTACAATCAGATGATATTTTGTTTGCAATCCGAGTGACGTCAGAATATGTGGGAATAGCACACCTATGTTTTTTCCTTCCACCATGATTTCGCACCGTATTGTCATTGAATTGCGTTTCCGACATCCCTGCAAAACACGTTTGTGGCGCCCACAGGCGTACCAACCCACATCTATTACAAACCGAAAAAGCGCTGATGAAAAGAGCCGCTAACTTCACGACGGTGTCAAGCCTAGCCTATCCTAGTTCTAGAATTTTTCTATTGCGTTAGTTGGACGTCGGATAGAAAATTTTGGCAGATAAAATTTACTGTTATTATTTAAAAGCTGGTATAAAATAGTATGAAAATATCAGTGTTATTCAAAATTTTTTAGTTAGGCTATTTAGTAAGGGGTCCTTATTCGTATTGGATTCAATAATGGATGAAACGTCTCTGGAAGAGGGAGAGGTACGGTACCTAAGTTAAATACCTTGTTCTTAGGTTAAGCCTAGGATTATTGACAAAATATCAGGCAAGCAGGCTACTGTAAGGTCATGATAACAAATTTAACATGCATGTTTTCTCTAAGGTTATATATTTTTAAATCTTAGACCTACAATGTCATATTAATTACTTTGTCATTCATATGTAAAACCAATATTCTTGCAGGCCTGTCAACTTAAATTAGTTGATCCAACGTTTGATGATTTTCTCTAGAAAGGGTAGGGCCTAGATTTAAACTCAAATTTGTTTTAAGCCCTAGATTTCTCAGCTTTCTCCTTAAAAAGACTAGAGACCTAGCCTATTAGGCTTTCATCAAATTGTTCGTTTAGTTAGCTTAAGCCTAAGTTACTGATTGGATTATTGATTAATTTGGTCCTGGTTCTGGCTCCACAACAGCCAAGCTGACATTTACAGACAGGAGGGGATAGTCATCACTTCCAACTGTTTGAAAAGAGGTCTACAATGTTCCTGCTGATTCCCTACTACTGAAGTTATCCTGATAGCCTCTTTTTGCCTGATGAAAACTTCATCTCTTCTGGCTGCATGTCCCAATAGGCGGATCCCTTTTAAGAGTAGGCGGGAATAGGTCATGTGGGTACTCAAAATTAACTGGTATAGAGCAGACTAAACAAGAATGTGCAAGAAGATCCGATGGACAGAGATACGGCTGTAAATTCTTTGGAAAATCGAGTTAGTTATTACGTCAGGTTGGGTTAGGTTAGTTTATCAATAAAATGGGTAACTTATAATTAGTAACCTAACCCAACGTAACTTAACCTAACCTGATAGGGTCAACCGGGGCTAATATGAACACACCAAAATATTGGGGCTAATATGAACAATGACTTAAAAAGTCATTTATCTGGGATTTTTAATCATGAAAAAAATATAATTAGAAAGGAAATTTATTGTATTTTTTGTGTCCATAATGAGAAAACTTCAAATTTGACTTTTAGGTACTTAAAAAAATACTTTGTTAAAACACTTTTTTTCCGCCCAAAAACTTTTCCGCGCAAAGTGAAAACTTTTGTTATAACAATTTTTACATTGGTTGTAGGAATAATCTTAAGCCTGAATTTTGTTAAATAAGAATTGGGGATTATTTTTCTTTTCCCAAAGTTAAAATATATTAATAACAGCCAAAGTTATAAGCTTTCAAAGTTGGGGGGCTAATGTGAACAGTGAATGGGGGCTATTGTGAACAGTACCACCTTCCGCTATGTCGCTACAGTGTTAAAAACACTGGCTGACGGGGAGATCGAATTGATGGGATTTAAATCCTGTGATGAGGAAAAAAAATCATTCCGGAAAAAAGAAGATGATATATTTATTGTTTCTACCACTGACATTTTGGGGAAACTTCCAGCCCCTAATGTATGTGGAACCAGTGATAGACATAAGTATGTCTTCGACAAAATTGTCGAAGTTTTTGAGGCGTAAGTTCCTCAATAAACTTCTTTGAAGGCCTTACAGTGATAAAACAGTTTTAATTTTACAAAGACAACAGTTAAGGTGTTGAATAGGCCTAGCCCACATTTTTATATTTACCTAACTTAATAGGCCTAAAAGTGCAATAAACTGTCATTTGCCTAAACGAACTATTTGCATTGTCTTAAATTAGGCTATTGTTTTTTTAAGTGCTTTAAACAATTTGTATGTGGAAGAAATTTTTAATAAATACTCAGGTATGTTGACAGATAATTTTTTTCTTGTTTAAATATCTTATTATTAGCCCTGTATAATATTTATAAATGGTTTTAAAAAAAAAGGGGTTACCGTAGGGCGACCCGCGGCTCTCCAAAGATACCTTCATATCTCAAAAACTATTTAAGATAAAATATTATATGCCTAGTGTTGTAAATAACAGAGTTATTAAGAGTGTTCACATTAGCCCCATGGGCTGTTCACATTAGCCCCTTTTAGCGGGGCTAGCGGGGCTAATGTGAACAGTGGTTTTTAATTTTTTTTTAAATAGCCTAATGGTTACATTTATGGTTTTTGTTAGTAAATAAATAGATTCAGCTAAAAGAGCTGTATACACTACTATTTTTTCTTTTCTTCTGTCATTTATCAAATGATAAAACAAAAAAAGTAAACTTTTGACATTAACTCAAAAATTTGAGTTAATGTCAAAAGTTTACTTTTTTTGTTCATATTAGCCCCGGTTGACCCTATAACCTAACCTAATCTAATCCAACCTAAACCCATCCCCCCTTATTGAACCCAACGTAATCTAACCTAACCCAACCTTAACCTAGTTTTGGTAATTTTGGTGCAACTTGATTTTCCGAAACTTGTCCGGGCGTATCCATCGGATCTTGAAAATTTGTGCACATTCTTGTTCAGCCCACTCTACTGGTTAATTTTAGTACCCTTATGACCTATTTTCGCTAAAATATTGTTTTTACCCTTTTCTGTGGAAACGGTGCTTTTACAGGAGAAAATTACAATCATTTTTGAATTTAGGATGTTATTTAGCATATTAATAGTGAAAAAAATATTTTAGCGTGTCGTCTGTGATGGATATAATTACCAAAATTTGTACAGGCCTGTTGTCATTGATCTAGTAGTGTTGATTTAATAAGACTATGGCCGTTTGCTTGTAGGTCTGTGGGAAAGTGTGTAGAAGTGGGAGGTATGGGGGTTTTTGTCGTCCGTGAAAAGTAAGTTACACATTTTATATTAAGTTACTGACAAATCATGTGAGGAGGCTAATTTGTGTACCTTGCTGAAGAGGAGAAGACCACACATTTAACAGTCAAAGGCACAGAATACAAAGTATTCCATTATAATAAAATGTCTCTTTCAGGTAATGTGTAAATATTATCTTGTTACCATTCAATTATAGCCTTAGATTACCTATTAAGTATAATGTTTTTTGGTAGGCTATACTATAATTGTTAACGGTTCAGATTCCAGAAGCTGAAGACATGTTGGCCGAGCCAGATCAGTTTTCCATCAGTAGGGCGACTAGGGAGCCGCAGAGAATTTGCAGCGATGAAAGCAGTGATAACTCTGATAACTCAGACGATGACAGCGACGCTGGTTCTAAACCAAAGAAAGTTAAACCCTTACCTCCGCCTACTGCGAAGAGAGCTGAAGTACCCAACAAGTATAAGGTTTGGAGCATTGCTCTTCAGGAAGAAACACTGATGGAAAACCTGCACAAGTGTGATGTTGAGGCGAATGACAGATCACGTAGTGTAGAGTCTTACAACTACAAACTACACCAGGAGAACAGCAAATACAAAGAAGAACATCTGGAATACCAGCTATCAGATGAAGAGATTGTCAGATGGTTAGTGAAACCCTGTATATTTCTTATGAGAGTTAAATTTGGTTTTTCTTTTCTGAGTTATTTTGGATCTTCTACCCTTTGGTCTTAAATCAAAGGTATGCACGCACAGATATGCCATCAAGCATCATCGTCCATTTTATCCACTGTGTTACTCGACTAAAAACATAAATTAGATTTTTTCCCGATTCTTACTTCAATTAAAGGTGTATTTCACCAGTTCTAATTGCATTATCCTTAAGGTTCTGGTCTAAGAACTTTCAATGATAATAGCTTTCATTTGAGCTATTGATTATTAAGATTGGACGCACCTGAAGCACGCTGCTAAATTACAAGTCCTCAAAATTATTATTTAAAAAAATATCTGAAACCAATAATAGGTAACTCCATTTTTATTCCAGTTTTTTTTATTCTTGGTCTTAAAATAATCCTAGAAATAAAGTCTTTCATTCATGATGTTGATTGTTTGAATCAGATAGGCTACTGTACCCTAACTTACTACTCAATCAACAAGAAAAATTTGATTATTTCTCAGATAGGGGAAGGTGTTGTACCTAGGACCTATTTTACCTTTTTATTTTTTTATTTTGATATGACACATTAAAACCCAATAAATGTTACCTAGTGAAAAATAATCATTGTTCTTTAAGACAATACACATATATTTTATTTAACCCTTTATTTTCACCCAAAAAAAGTTATTCAATTTTTTAAAAATTTTGACATTAGGACCAAGGTATAATACCTATGTTGTACCTCGGACCTACATATGTTCTACCTTGGACCACTGATTTTTAAGTAGAGGAAATAAATGTAGAAACACATTTAAATGTTATCAAATTAATAATTAGTTTTTATTTTAAAAATATAACAAAACTGGCCCTTACAATAGGCTACATATTTTAATCATATTTTGTAAGAAATTCACTCAAGTTCACTTAGGCCTATAGCTAGGTAAGGTCTACGTAAAATATTCGTTTAACTGTCTTGGGGGCTCTGTCCTGTTCGTTTTTAGCAAATTAAATTACAAATGCCTATAATAAACCTTTTTGACAGAATTATTAAAGTCTGCTTTTAGTAGCCTAAGCTACTATGGTCCAAGGTATAATACCTGGCCATTATGTAAAAACTTGGTTCTAGACTATTCTATATTAGGATTAACATGGTGTGAATCATATGAAACTGTAGCTGAGTTGTTGATTTATATCATCAAATTGCCAGCTAAGATAAACAATCATTAAATCGAACATAATAAAAGAAAACTAAAAGTTTAATATAACTTACTTTTTCCTTGTAAAAACTTGTTTTATTTTTCTTGTCAAAAGGACACATTCAATTCCAACTTGAACACATTAGGATAGACCTCTTGTATGCTAAAACAAATTGAATCACTTTACAACTTTTACGCCTTCATTTAAAGGCTTCCAATAGACATCTTTTCACTTATTTTCAGACCTGCAAGTAGTTTTGTTCTATTAAAAAAATATATATATATATTTCATACCCAATTACCCCAAAGGGGGGAATTGGGTACTATACCTATTATACATTAAAATGACCTATTAAAAATTCTGGGAAAATGGGTGTTATTAAGAAAACACAAATAAGCATATTAAGACAAGTTTTAGTCTCTTATCATTATTTTTGACAATTTTATAGAGCGTTAAAGTTAATTTTTGAAAACTTTACAGTTTTTCAAAGATATTTCTTTGTAATAAATCCTTATAACTTAGGGTTGTAAAAATTGTATTAATTGTAGCTTCTTAGACATATTTAAACATAAAACAAGTTAGATTATTCTAACTTATTACAAAAAAAAGTTATAAGAAGACAAAACTTTGAAAAACTCTTATGGTCTTCTGCCTCTAAGCCGATGTGACGGGGGAATTGGGTACTAAGCCATAATTTCTTTAATATTCAATGCACAGAAGTCATACCAACCTAAAGCAATTCTTAACTACCCCCTAAAAGCATATTCTAACTAAAAAAAAACAGATGTATTGTTATCAGGGGAAAAAAAATATAGTACCCATTTTCCCATGAGGGGGCAATTGGGTACTAACATTTTCAACCCCTAAAAAATACACTTAAAAGTCAATTTAAAAATTCCTAAACTTCAGTAAATTACTATTAGTATGTATACTTTGCTCTTATGAGATAAAAGTAAATATTTTGCAGTAACTGAAATTTTTATAGTGTCTCCAAGGTTACTCGGGCCAAGTTTGATAGGCACTTTAAAAATTGAAAAACGTAAGGGGTGAACAAACTATTTTTTAACTCGTTTCAATTTCAAGATAATTACCTAAAATAAATTTGAGGTTTATAAAACATAACTAGCTATCACTACAGATTTTTTGATTCTTTCTAATAAAAGGCATGTACTTATTAAAAAAATTCAAAAAAGTTCATACCCAATTACCCCTAATACCCAATTCCCCCCTTCTACCCTAGAGGAAATAAATGTAGAAACACATTTAAATGTTATCAAATTAATAATTAGTTTTTATTTTAAAAATATAACAAAACTGGCCCTTACAATAGGCTACATATTTTAATCATATTTTGTAAGAAATTCACTCAAGTTCACTTAGGCCTATAGCTAGTTAAGGTCTACGTAAAATATTCGTTTAACTGTCTTGGGGGCTCTGTCCTGTTCGTTTTTAGCAAATTAAATTACAAATGCCTATAATAAACCTTTTTGACAGAATTATTAAAGTCTGCTTTTAGTAGCCTAAGCTACTATGGTCCAAGGTATAATACCTGGCCATTATGTAAAAACTTGGTTCTAGACTATTCTATATTAGGATTAACATGGTGTGAATCATATGAAACTGTAGCTGAGTTGTTGATTTATATCATCAAATTGCCAGCTAAGATAAACAATCATTAAATCGAACATAATAAAAGAAAACTAAAAGTTTAATATAACTTACTTTTTCCTTGTAAAAACTTGTTTTATTTTTCTTGTCAAAAGGACACATTCAATTCCAACTTGAACACATTAGGATAGACCTCTGGTGGCTAAAGCATAAACTAAGGGTACAAGTTCTCCCTTTACTCAACAGATAGTGCCAGAATCAAATCAAATCAAATCATTTATTATCATGGACATTTACATGCATTGACATTGTCAGTGGAGCAGAACATAAAATTTCAATGTTCATTGTCTAAATAATCAGAGGTAACTTGGGTATGAGTCTATGTTGTACAAATTCCTTTTAACTACAGGGTTAACAATCACAATAGACTAAAAACAATTTAACAAATGAACAATTAACAAAGTTGAAGAAAACAAAAATAGACTATATAGAAATAATTAACAGATTTGGATACAAAGTTACAGACTTATCACAGGTTGTTCTAGGAACTCTTCAATACTGTAAAAAGGATTTCTTAAGAGCCAGTCACTGAATTTTTTTAAAAATATTTTTTGTGGATACTTATTTACATTAATAACTACCTTATTATAAGCTTTCTTACACATAACAACATGGCTATTTAAAGATTTGCTCAAACGGAGGTGCTGGTAACTTATTTGATGTCTACCACGAGTATTGTAGGGATGTACATCTTCATTCAGGACCATGACTGGTAGTTTTTTTAAAGAATAAATAACAAGTTCTAAAATATAAAGGTTAATAACAGTAAAAATCTTTAATTTAATAAAAATAGGCCTACAATGTTCAAGATCAGCTGAACCATCAATAATTCTAACAGCTTTTTTTTGTAATATTAATACTTCTTCAATTCTTGAACAATTGCCCCAGACAAGCAAGCAGTACTTAATTATTGATTGAAAAAAAGCAAAATAAGCCATCCGGATATATTCTGGAGTTACACAGTATTTCAAACGCCCCAACAAGAAAACAACTCTAGAAAGTCTAGTAGTAACACAATCAATATGAGTATTCCAAGTAAGCTGTTGGTCAACACATACACCTAAAAACTTGGTACTGACAGCTGTTTCTATAGCTAAAGATTCATGGTCATAAGGCCTCAAAGAGAATACTATATTTTCAGTTTTATTTTTATTTAAGAGATAGCCATTAGCTCTAAACCAAGATGAAGCTTCTTCTATAGAGTTATTTACCAAATTACTTAAATGCAGCAAGTTACTGGAAGTGTTAACAAATGTCGTGTCATCAGCGTAAAGAAGGGTTCTACATTGCACATTATGAGGTAAATCATTAATACTAATTAAAAATAACAGAGGGCCCAAAACTGATCCTTGGGGAACACCATATTTCAAATAAACCTCTTGAGACTGAACACCATCAATATACACAACTTGTCTCCTATCCTTTAGATAAGATTCGAAAAGTTGCAAGGCAACCCCCTGGATGCCATAGAAGTGCAATTTTGAAAGAAGGTCTGAGTGATCAACACAATCGAAGGCTTTACTCAAGTCACAGAAGGTAACTTGAGCATAGGACCTCGCCTCAAAAGCCTGCAAGATTTGGGAAATGAGATCGTCCATGGCATCCTGGGTAGCCCTGCCCCTTCTAAAGCCAAACTGAGAACTGTACAAAATTTCATTTTCCTCTAAAAACAAGATGACCTGATTGTAAACTATTATTTCTATAATTTTTGACAGCACAGGCACAAGAGACACAGGACGATAGCTTTCTGGCTTATCTTTAGGCCCCTTCTTATAAACAGGACAAACCCTAGAAATTTTAAGTTCATCTGGAAAGTGACCATCTAGTAAAATACTATTGATGCAAACTACAAAAGGGGTAACAATACTTGGAATTATTTGCTTTAAAAAATTATTTGACATGTTATAATAATCATTACTGCTCGAGTTACTGAGATGCTCTACTGCCTTTAGGACATCTTTATTTGTGACAGGTTTCCACTCAAACAATTTACCATTAGGCCTAAGCCCTGAACTCACATTTTTAACAAGTTCTACTGCTGTAGCTAAAGGTGGTACAATATCTCTTTTTGTTTGTTCGACAACTTCAACACAACGGTTTATTTTCACTCGATGATAAGTTACAGGTTTTCTTAACTATAGCCCAAGCTGTCTTGCATTTGTTTTTACTGGAGTCTATTAATTTACTATTGTAAGATACTTTAGCATCCAAAATCTTATTTCTATATACTTTTTTCAGACCCAATAACTGACCTTTGACATTAGGGCTGCTAGTGCTTTTAAATAGAAAGTCAAGAGAAAGGAGCTGTTCCTTAATAGCAGCTAGTTCTTGTGTGTACCAAACACATTTTGTGTTAGCAGATCTAAACCTAGGAGTAGGCCTACAAGGTTTTAAACATTGAAAATACTGAAATATACTAACTAAAATTGAAAAGAAACATGTAAACATTGTTGATGAATTGCAAAAATATTGAGGTGAGAGCATACACCAGTTGACAAGATTCAATTTTTCAATCAGATTACAAATGCTTTGTTTGGGCATCACTAATTTAAAAGATGACTGTCTGACAGAAGAAATAGGTTGTTCTTCTAATCTGTTGGATCGATCTATTGTCTGTAGACCAACGACCAAAGCAGCATGATCCGAAAAAGGAAAATCCTTAACATTACACACTACCTTTTCACGACTACAATTAACAAAAACATTATCAAGGCAATTATTACCTCTAGTGGGATTAGAGTTCAAACAGTAGCAGTTAAACTGTCGAAGAAGATTGAGAAACTCACCGGCAGTAGCCCTGGTAGAAGTAACATCGAAATCTGCGTTGAGGTCACCGCCGGCTATGATTGTGTAGTTCTCCCATTTGGATAGGTAGGTCAGTAGAGTCTCTAATGAGCTGAGGAATTTCACATGATCAGATGCTGGAGAATGGTAGATGCAAACCACAATGATTTTGAGCTTGTCCACAAAAGCAGCCGCAACTTCGAAATGTAACTCCGATGAAAATGAGCTGACATCCAGTACTCTTGCTTCAAGACTATTGGCAATGAAGATCCCAACACCGCCCCTGATGTGACTAGTTCTACAGTAGTGAGCCGCACAATAAAAACCATCCGGTTGTGAGTTAACAAGTTCATCCTGACACAACCAGTGTTCAGTCACACAGATGAATGAGATATCCACAGGAACAATTTTTTTGTCTGATATATAGTCTTCTAAAATATTACATTTATTTCTCAAACCCTGAATGTTGAGGAACAAAAATCCTGTAGGCCTATCTATGTTTGAGAGGCTAGAGTTAGAGAGCTCTAACCCCTGCGATTGCCTAAAAAATGTCCACGATTTTGCTTACGTAGTGGGATGTATTCCTTAACTAATATTCCTTCATCCCAAAATTCTGGATCCATGATTTGATCTACTGCAGAGTCATTAACACCAATTTTGTAGGATTTGTAAGTGTCATATTTAGTTTCAAGTTCGTAGCACAGAAAGTCTTCAACTTTTGAGTCTTTCAAGTAGGATTCAATATCTTCCTTGGTCACACTAGTGTCTAACCGAGAAATAAACACCCATGATCTCTTACCTGCAGCTTTAATCTTCGAATCACCCCCAGTCTTTTTCCCAAAGATTGGTCTAGGAGCCAATGTTTCATTTCGGGTTTGGTTGTTAGAGCTGTTTCTAACCGGTAACCGATTTACCCGATTCGTGGCAGACCGTCTTCTTTTTGACACATACACCTCAAAGTTGTTGTCATTATCGCTATTGTTAACAACAACGTTAGCATTTTCTTCACTGTTTCTGTTAAGTTTACTGTTCCGAATAACTCTAGAATAGGTTAGGCTATTGTTGTTTTTGTTTTGATCAAGAAGAGCAGAAGATGTAGTTGTAGCACTGGTTGTAGTTGGTTGCTGACACAGAGTACGAAGTGATGGGTTGGTTGTACACTGATCACTACTTTGGTTATTTATCAGAGGAGGATAGTCGGAGGAAATGTTGGGTGTATGTACCGGCATTTGACTGTCCATAACTTTGAGACCCCGATCCTTGCTAATCATATTACTTAAAGCCGCATGACTTGCTTTAACTTCCATAAGTTCTGAACTTAGTTTTTGATAGTTGGAGGACAAGTCGTCCATCCTACCACACAGTGCAACGTTGTTCTTACTCTGGCTTTCCAACTCAGTTAAAACTATATTTACTACGCTAGGCCAATCACAGCCATCGTCAATTTTTACTGACTTTCGAAAGAGAATGTCAAGTTTTGCTTCACAATCAGCACAGAACCACTTTACCTTTTCGGCAATGTCATTAATCACAGCATATAATTCATTGTCAATATAGACACACTCGGGATGGTACCATAACTGACAAAAACCATCACAACCCATCGCCATTTCATTGCAGACAGGATCTTTACATTTACCACAAGGATATTGTTCCATCTCGTCTGGGGGAACAACGGGATTTTCATCCTTACGGATACCACGACTGCGAGTCATCATGATTTTCTTCCACTAGGTTGGTAGTGGTACGTCAGATAGCAGAAGTAATAAGTCCAAAAGTAAGAAAAATGTCAAAATGTGCTTATAACCTCAAAACAAGGTTATGTCAAATTAGTTAAAATATAAACCTGTTTCCACGGCGATCACACACAAAATTATGATTGCAGACAAATAATAACACATAAATAATTCATAAAGATAGTTTATAAGATATTTAAAACAGAACTTCACTAATTATATTGAAAAATAGCCTCACTAGTAACAGACCACGTACTTGATCGGCGGGAAGCAGGTAATCTAATTCCTTCACTAATAATGCTACTGGAAAACTGAGAATGAGCATAGGTCCGAGGTACATATAGAGGTCCAAGGTACAACTAACACCTTCCCCTATGGAATTTAATTTTAGATATATTTACTCAACTCCCATATGTTATCTCATCCCGTTTGTTTTGATCCAAGAACCTTCAGTGAAATACCAGATTTCATATGAGTTATTGATTATTTAGATCGGACGTACCTAAAGCAATGCTGCTGAATCACGAACAACCCAAATTGTTCAAAAACAGAGTTATCCATCCTCGACTGATAGTTAAATGATTTTGCTTGAAACCTCAAGAGTTTTATTGTCGCTAAGCATATGGCAATAGACGAAGTCAAATACTTCATACTTAGGCCTACTTCATACTTTTCTCTTCATCGTTGACCAGTATAACTGGATAGATGGCGTCAATACTATTACAAAACAAAACATATATTTACAGCAAAAAAACTTTAGAAATTAAATTCTTAGATCTTGATTTAAATTTGGCGGCAGGTCACTTCATTTTATTGAGGAGTAGTCGGCTTCTAGATATTCATTAAGTGTGTAGAAGGGGTTGTTTTTAAGCCAAGTCCCAATTTTATTTTCAAACGTCCTTGGTTCTAGTTCTTTGACGGCAGCCGGGAGTAGGCTGAAAAATTTCATAGCCAGGACAGGGTAGCAGTCTTTCTTTTTAGTAAGTCTACAAAATGGTAGGTCAATGTGTTTTTTCCTTATGGTATTATAACTATGCTGGTCTGCTCGTATTGGTACATTGGTAAATATTGATGAATGTGAAGAAGACTGACTAAAATATAGTGGTTGAAGATTGTAAATATGCCCAATTTCTTGAATATGGGCTTGCAGTGCTCTTCATCACTGGCGGAGTCCGTTATTCGGAGAGCTTTCTTCTGTAGGACTAGGATTTTAGTGCAGGTTGAGGCATGGCCCCACAGCTCAAGACCATAGATGATGGCTATGGAACAATGACAAGTAGACTGTAACAAGAAAATCCTTGGAGACAAGTCGTTTCAGCCTACGTATGAGTATGTATGTGAAATACAGTATTATTTCAACAGTAACCGTCAATTTTGATGGGTTTTAGCGAATTTCCCACATGGGGAATAAGCTATTACCGTAGTATTACCTAGTATATTTGATTTGATTATGTTTTCCCATGGTGGTTCTATTTTATGAGTTGTTTATTAAATTGTAAAAACAATGTAGCCTAATGAATATGTTTTTAGGTTAAAATCTAAAGTTTACTTCTTTTTCTAAACATATTTCTTTGCTTCAAGAAGAACTGTTAATATTGGAATTATACTAATTTTAAATAATAACTTCGCCAATATTTCTGAATTTTTTAATTTTTATTTTTATTTTATATTTCTTTTTCCGGGATTGAACAGTAAAACATATACAGATACTGTAGATAATGAAAACTGGAACTGTAAATTGTATTTTTACGTTTAGGTGGTTCAATTTACGTAGGTAATCGGCTAGTTAGGCTAAGTTATAATGATTTGTAGCACTGAGGGCGGAAATGCTTTAAATCATTGACCCATTGTGAATCAAATCAAACTCAAACATACACGATAATTTTTACAGCTTTGTAATTATGTATCTGTAAAAGTAGAATTGTTATTGGAAGTACTAAAGTGGCTGTTTTTACATAAAAAAATAACTTTGTAGAATAATACCTCTAATAATCATTTATCTTCTGTAAAAATAAACTAAAATTTATGGTAATGCATTTTTATTCTTATCAACTTGGTTACCGGTACTCTTGTTGTTAGTCTTCTCGTTACTGAATTTCTTAACTTCAGTTATGTTTTGTAGTGATGAAGAAAAAAAGTACAAAGTTGGCAGTAAGCGGCGGCATGGTGACATCAAGTCGCGGCTGGGAAAGCGAGGTGATAAGTTACGTTGGAAGTTACCAAGTCTTGCAGTCACTGCCGAAGATACAGTGGAAGATGTAGCAGAAGACATTGCAACCAAGTTGAGGGAAAGCAAAGCCAACTTGATTTGTAAGAATCCTTATTTATGTACCAAAAAGATCTTCAGTAGGGGGTCATCCCATGCCAAATCAAAAACCAGTTTGAACCTTGCCCATTTTTTAAACAAAAACCCATTGAGATCCCATCCTGAAATTTTACATGCATGATGTCAGTTCAGGGCCGGATCTAGGAACCGCGAAACCCCGCAATGCGGGGGGGCCCAAGCACTTAGGGGGCCCAAAGAGGTCGTAAAAATTAAAATTATTTTAATGCATATAAACATAATCGAATAGGACGGCAAGTTTAGTTTTGACAGACAAATAAATATTGTCAACATCAAAGCTAAAGTTAGAATTATTAAGTAAATTTAGACTTGTGATTTTACTCGTCGACAACTCGGGACCTCGCCCTAGCTAGACAGTTCAATCTCGCCACTTTCAGTCAGTCCATACTCAGTCAGCTCAGTCCAGTCAGCACGTCAGCTGCATGGTGAGCTCACTGAGCTATATGGGCGAGCTTCACAGATCCACTACAGTCCGATCGGACCGAGCGACGTGGACGACGAAGTGTCAACTAGCACTAGCACTCACTCTCACATCTGGGAGCTGAACAATAAGTAATAAGTCTGTCGTGGTACAGGAGGGACTTGTACTAATCTTTGTAGCGTTATCTAAAAATATCTTATAAATGATATTATCTTATATCTTATTATGACCTAATTCGAATCGAAGGCGTTTGGGACTCCGTCCAAACAGTAGTTTAAACAATTGCCACGACAAGCGCTGGGTTCAGCGAGCGATCTCAATCTGTCAACGCAATTATTTAGAGATCAGTCAAAATAGTGAATACTACTGTAGTTTTGTGAGGTTATGTTTATCGTGCCATGCCGCCGGTATTCTATAGTTGTTAAACTAAATAATTAATTAATACACACAGTTGTAAATGTACCTGTACCTCTGTCTCTTTTCGTTATAAGTGTAGTTAAGTGCGAATTAATGAACAACGAATTAGGTGAAAAACATTTTTACGAAGTATGCCAGTGGTGAGGTTGTAAGTTTTGAACAGAGAGTTGAGTTAAAGCTGCTAGCTAGGCCCGCCAAAACCTGATTTAGTTTATAACCCAATCTCAAAAGTCATGCAAGAGTAGAAAAGGATTTTCTAGAAATTAGATTAAACTAAAAATTAAAACTAGGTTTAAAAAGTGCAAGTTAAATTATGAAGTAGAAACCACAATAGAGGATGTTTTGCAATATCTATTCATATTTTAATATAGGCCTAGTTCTATTAGGATAATAAATCTGATCTATTAAATAAATTGGTAAAAACTATTAAAAAATGTACTTTACTCTACTCTACTTATGTCTACTTGCTCGTGACAAACAACAGGTGAAATGGGACTATTATTGGACACAGTTTTAGGCGTTAAAAATTGCTTTAGAAAGTCACCAAACGGCTATAAAAATGTGAAATTTTTCCGGGGGAGGACCCCCGGACCCCCCCTCTTCTCTTGGGGGATGCTCCACACCCCCCAAACCCCCCGGAGCCCCGTACGCAGCTGTAGGGGCCCTTGGAGGACTTTTGCAGGGGGGCCCATATTTTGTAGATCCGGCCCTGTGTCAGTTAGACTAGATACGAGGGTCATTCAATAAGTAATGAGACAAATTGCTCATAAACGGTTTATTGAATCAGTACAAAACTTTCAGGACGTAAAGTTGGCAACCTTGCAATGACAGTTGATCAGCTATTCAAACATACTAGTGCATACTAGTTGCTCGAATTCGAGCAATTGCAAAGTATTATGGACGTTATTTCAAAACGAATAACAGTCATAATTTCTGATGACTTAAAAGAGTCAACTCATAGATAATGTAATCAATCACTCCACTCCAGTTATCAAAACTGAAAACGAATGCTCTTGTGTGTATCATGTGTTTACTATGAACACCTGTAATTAATACAAATTATTTGTCCGTTTAAGTAAACAAAATCTTTTATCCATTAGAAACACATTGGGATTTTGATGGCCTGTGGGGCTAAGCCCGAGGACTTTTATTACAGGAATTGGTGAAAGGGGCATCTACACAAACAATACTTCATTTTGACACATTGTTTGTACAAATCCGTCCATTATTAATGGAGAAGTAATGTTTCGTAGAAATTGCCTTCACGTATTATATATAAGGATTTTGCAAACATAACCTCACATTTAATCAGTTAAGGATGGAAAATCTGAATACATTGGGATTTTGATGGCCTCTGGGGCAAAGCCCGAGGACTTTGATTACAGGAATTGGTGAAAGGGTCATCTACACAAACAATACTTAATTTTGACACATTGTTTGTACAAATCCGTCTATTATTAATGGAGAAGTAATGTTTCGTAGAAATTGCATTCACGTATTATATATAAGGATTTTGCAAACATAACCTCACATTTAATCAGTTAACGATGGAAAATCCGAATACATTGGGATTTTGATGGCCTCTGGGGCAAAGCCCGAGGACTTTTATTACAGGAATTGGTGAAAGGGGCATCTACACAAACAATACTTCATTTTGACACATTGTTTGTACAAATCCGTCCATTATTAATGGAGAAGTAATGTTTCGTAGAAATTGCCTTCACGTATTATATATAAGGATTTTGCAAACATAACCTCACATTTAATCAGTTAATGATGGAAAATCCGCTTGAGAATTGCACTGTGGCAGAACAACGTGCCGTGATAACATTTTTAGTCATGGAAGGTGAGAAAGATAGGTAGACAAAAGAATAAAAAAAGTGTGTTGAAGCAATTGTTTGAATCGTTCAAACATTTACTAAAAGGTATAACAGTTTTAAAGTGGATGTAATAATCTATGCCTAATCTATGCCTGCCTTCTTTCTTACAGTTGAACTAACGTATGTTTTATTAATTATTATGATTTGTAAAAAGTATCTATATAAATATACATCTTTTGTCAAGTCCTATTAATTTTTGTCTTGTTTGTCTTTAATATTTTTTACATTGGTGCCGAAACCCGACTTATAAATCATGTCAAGAAATATGTCAATCCGAAAGTCAGGGAGAGAGAAACACCCTCCAAATAGATCTTCCCCAGAAAATGTAAATGACAAGAATGATGAACTCATAGAAAGAGATAGTCAACCTCCAAAACCCCCTACTAAGACAAAAACCACATCTTCAACTTCCAGCAAGCGCCGGTTACTTAAACTGCTACTAGAAGAAATGAACAAACTAGAAAAAATGCAGGAAGAAAAAGAAATGCAACGCCAAAGAGAATTTAAAGCAAGGGAACTAGAACGACAGAGGCAAACAGAGGAGAGGGAAATGGAACGACTACGTCAAGCTGAAGCAAGAGAATTAGAACGACAGAAGCGTCTGCTGAGAGTAAGGACCGAACTTGAGTCTGCTTCGGTCTTGGGAAGTAGTCAGTCCGCCTCAGTCTTGGGCAGTCGTCATTTGGAAGATAATGAAGACCCTGACAAGGTACCTTTTTAATGACGATGAAAACCTTGACAGAATAAGAAATTGTCTGGAGGGAGATGCCTTTAAAATGGTAAAACCTCTATTTATATCAGGTAAAAATTTGAGTACAGTAATGAAAACTTTACAAATGCGTTTTGGACGTTCAGAGTTTATAGTCGAGTCAATGTTGAAGAAGGCGCGCATGCTCCAACCAGTAAAGGAGGATGACGCTGTCAGCCTTATTGAGTTTTCAACAACTCTTTTAAACCTGACCTCTACCTCATAGTCGTTGGATTTGGAAATGTACTTAATAAATCCTCTCTTGTTGAATGAACTTTTAAGTAAGCTCCCCTATACTCTGAAGTACAGGTGGGCTGAACATGTAAATAGCATGCATTTAGAAAAACCTACTGACCTGAAAGTATTCTGTAACTGGCTTGAAAACCAGTGTTCCATTATGAGTATTTATTTTCGTCCACCTGAGGAGACAGCGCGGAAGAGAAGTGACCCTAAACCAGTTTTGACTAATTCACCCAACGAAAACGTTTGCATTTTTTGCTCGGAGAGTCATGAAACCGATAAATGTAAGCTTTTCAGAAAAGCAGAAGTCGCGTAGCGGTGGAAGATAATAATTGAGAAAAAACTGTGTTTCTTTTGCTTCCGTCGTCACCACATCAAATTTTGCAATTTAAAGAAACCTTGTGGAATCAATGGGTGCAAACTATCCCACCATCGCCTTCTGCATACTGACAGTGCCTCAAAAAATACCGGACGTATCAATGATAACTTTACTCTGACATGTTTTAAATATGATAAATTGTACAAAACAGCAGAGGACTCATTTGAGATTGACAAATATGGTGCAGAAAACATCTCCCAAGAGGAAAGGACTCAAACAAAGGAAACAAAACAAAGGAAAGGAGGAAACGAAGATATGAAAATCAAAACAGCACATTTAAACAGGGATCCAATAAAAGAAAAAGTGTTAGAGAAGGAATGCCAACCCCTGGAGGCTAAGAATATGATTCAAGACTCTGAGAAACATTCTGACATTCTCACCAGTGTCCAGACAGTCAGAGTGGTTGGAGAGAAAACAGAAGAGCGTGATAAAGAAAATGAGATAGGTCTAGTTGACGATGAGCCGATAGAAGATTCCAAAATACTTGAAGTCTTGAAGGCAGCCATGCTAGAATCTAGTGTCAAAATCAAGAACAAGATCTTTGCGATAACTGACAAAAGGAAGAAAGTGAAAACAAAAGAAAAACAAATTAAAGCCAAACCTCTATGGAATGTGAAGAAAACGGAGAACGACTCAGAGTTGATAATTTGTAACGGATGTGACATACAGTTTGACAATACCCCATTTTTACAGACACAAGAAGAAATATGTTAACTGGAAAGAGCACAAGAATAACAATGACAAGCAAACAAACAAGTGTGCTCAGTGTGGCTGTGTGTTCCCATGCCTGATGGCCTTGTTTGAACACAACTGTAGTTGCTTAGAGGAACCTGCAATGCCACAATTGTGTCTTGAGAAGCCGGTGGCGGAGCCGCTAGGAG